GTCAGGGGCTTCTCTCCCGTTTCCAGCGTGTCCCGGGCCCCTGAGAAACAGGAAAGAACTTCTGGGCCTAAAGGGCAGTGTAGGTACAGATCAAACCACCCATGGGTCTGGCCGAGCCTGGAGGAAAGCCGGCAACACCTCGAGCTGGGAGCTTCTGGGAAATGAGGACTGGGGGTCAGGATCCACGGCCCTGGGGTCAAACTCCAGCTCTTCCCCTGCCCTGCTGTGTGACCTCAGGCAAGTGGTCTCCCCTCTCTGGCCCAGGGCTCCTCTGGTAAGGCCAACTAAAATTCTAGACTGAGTAGATAAAGCCCTACTAAGTACATTTTAAAATAAAAAGACCCAGCGTGTATTCTAGCTGACATTTTACACTACTTTGTGCTGCTCAGAGCATATGAACGTAGTCACAATAAAATATAGCAAACTTAATTTGAAAAAGTCAACAACAAAAAAAGAGTAGTTTCTTTTTCTTACACGTGAATGAAGTCCAGATGCAGGCAGTTTGGAGCCTCAACAAAGCTCTCAGCATCGCAGGCCCCATCCTGTTCAACATTCTGCCATTTCTGGGACTGGCTCTCCTTCTCATGGTCCAAGCTGGACGCCACAGTGCCAGCCTTCTCATCTGCCTTCCAGGTGGCAGATTGGAGAAGGAAAGATGACAAGTAAAGGGCAGGCAACCGCTAAATCTCTAAGAAGGATTCCAGAAATTGCCAAACACTCTCCCAGTTACAACCCCTTGTCCAGAACCAGTGGGCATAGCCGAAACCGAACTGCAAAGGAAGCTGGGAGAGCCGTCTTTAGGCTGCACGGTCATGGACTCAGCTGAGAGTCGACCAGACATTTGTAAATACCTGAGATAATTTCAGGTGGTGATACCTGCTGTGGACGAGCAAAGAGGGTGACGTGAGGGAGGATGGGTGTAGGGAGGCCCCCCTGAGGCGGCAGGGCTGGGACATCAAGGATGAGCAGGCCGGTGGCCAGCACCCAGCCTCGGGGAGCAGCAGGCACACGGCTGAGGCGGGGACACGCCTGGTGCGGTGAAGAAGCAGAAGAGGAGGCCGGGGGGCGGGGGGGGCGCTGGGATGGGGCGGGGGCCTGGCCGCGGATCCGAGGTCGGAGGTCAACCGAGCCAGAGCCTGGGGGAGCTGCGAGGGCCCGGGGGGAGTTTGGGGTTTTCCTAAGTATGATGGGGGGGGGGGGGCACTGGAGGGTTGACTCCACCTGCTGTGACGTCCCTTTGAGGGGATGCGAGCCCCCTGGGCCTACGAAACGTACTCGGAACCCTCCGGAAAGCTTCCTTCATTCGCTCACTCATTGATTCATTCATTCGACAAATGGGCGGTAGTGCAGAAATGACCCTCCAGTGCCCACCCTCGGGAGAAGGGCAGACGGACGGAGCAGGCTGCGGTGGGGAGTGCTTGGAGGGGAAGATGAAGGGGCCACAAGAGGACCTGAGTTCGCGGCCCGGGGCCCGCAGAGGCTTCTCGCGGGAGGTGACATTCGAGCTGAAATTTGAACCGTGAGGAAGCACTGTCTCGTGAGGCCCAGAGAAGAGGGACAGAACTGTCCAGGCAGAGGGAACAGCTTGTGCAAAGGCCCAGAGGCAGAAAGAGAATTGCATGTTCAAGAAACTCGCTAGACCCGCCGACAAGAGCGGGGAGGGCGAGGGGGAGCAGAGGGCAGATCTCAGACAGCTGGGGGGCTGCTCAGGGTTTCCGTGTTCTGGGCAGGATGATTTATTAAGAACTTTGCCCTCAAATTCCTGGGATGGGCCTGTGGCCGGATCTGAGACCAGCAGGACCCTCGCTCTCCTCGGAGGCGTCACGGGCTCGCTGACGGCCAGGCTGCTGCCCTCCTGCGGCCTGCTGCGTCCCTCTCTTGCTCCCAGCCCTGAGCGCACCGCACCGTCTGACTCAGCCTCCTGCCCCAGCCATCCCCGCCCTGACCACCAAGGCCGCCGTCCCCACCCCACCCCTCCTCCGGAAGCCTCCTCAGAATGGCCTGGCCCTGGCGCCCAGAACAGCATCTCCATCTCCAATCAGACCTGCCCGTTTGACAGAGGGAGAAGCTGAGGCCCCACAAGGAAGACACCGGTCCCCCGAGGTCACACTCCAAGGCTGGCACAGAACCAGGGCCCCGTCCCAGGTCTCCTGACCCCTGGCCCTAAATCTTCACACTGTTTGATTCAAAAAGGAGGAGGAGGAGATGGGGGAGCCCTCCCCAGAGGATGAGGAATTCGCACACACTCCCTATGTGCCAGGCACCTTCCCTACCTCAGCCTGTTCAGGGGAATCCTCACAGCTACACAGTGACATGGATATGATCACATCTTCCAAATGGTTTGCGAAACAGAGAGGCTATGCAACCCACCCACCGTCACACAGCAGTTACCCAGAAGACAGCAGATCTGAAGCCCAGTCTGGCTGCTACACTCTCCAGTGGCTGAGGCTGCCTCCCGCCCAGCCTCTCCTCCGCTCCTCGGAGCAGCGGCAGCCTCCTCTTTCACAGCTAACCAGCAGAGGTTTTCCTGGCTGCCCATGAGCCTGCAGATATGTTTCCTTTGGCCCACGTCGTGTTTTAATAAAATTGGAGCCAATATTCACAAATCAAGAGATTTTACATAAAAACCCACATTTCTGCCTTCCTTAAAACACTGGAAGATTTGACTGCACTGGGCCTAAGTTCTGCCGGGCCAGCTCAACCAGGGTGGGACGTTCACAGGGACGCTCCAGTGCCCCGCACTCCCCACCTCTCCCTGCTGCCTCCCATCCCTGAGGCCGAAAGCGGTTTATCAGAATACGTGCATTGTCGTTTTTCTGAGAGCAGGGAATCTTTCTCTGTATCCGTATTTCTCTCAAAAAAGAGAAGAACAATGATCGAAGAGGGGTCAGGTGTCAGGGAAAACGGGAGAACACGTCTTTCTCTCTGGAACTGAGGAACGTTCCTCGGTGTTGATCGGCTGAGCCCCTCACTGCTTAGGTTTCCTTCCTGGTGACCCCAGTAGGACCACCAGATTCAGCAAATAAGAATATAGGATGCTCAGCTAAATTTGGACTTCAGATCAAAAACAAATGGTTTTTTTAGTACAAGCGTGCCCCGCGCAATATTTGGGACACAGAAAATATTTCCTTTCTCTGTCTGACTTGTCAGTCCACCGGGCCTGCTGCGCTGGGTCTGGCAGCCCCACCCACCGGGCTGAGAGCCCGTCTCTAACGGGCTTGCGTTTGAACCAGGCTCCTCCCCTCGGGTCTGGGAGATTTGGGGGCAAGTCACTGATGTTCTCTGGGCTTCAAGTTCATCACATCAGCCGCGGGAAGATCTGATGAGATAATATATGCAAAGCGCTGGACACAGAGCCTGGCTGTGGCGCTCAGGGACACCATGCTGCCCACCCAGCAGCCACCCGCTGCTTCTCCGCGGGCTGAGCGCTGATCCTGCCACCCCGCTGTGCCCAGCCCATCAAGGCTCGCCCATTCTGGTCTGCCAGTGATTGGTCCAAGGGGAGCATGTGACCTGGTTTTGACCAATAGGATGCTATAGGGGAGTCTGCTGGATGAGGGCTCCAGGGAGATTTTCTTCCCTAAGGAGTGTTGGCCATGTGGGCCCTGGACACAGCCATGGGGGGAAGGGGATGCTTGACCCCGGCTGCCATCTCGTGCCAAGGAGCTGGCAAAAAGCCAGCGTGCTGAGGATGGCAAAGGTCGGGGTTAGAGGACTCCAGGGCTGACCACACCAAACTTCTTTTTAAGTAAAATGATAAATGTCCTTATGACTGAAGCCATTGCCAACGAGCTAATGACACCTCATGGTCACAGGATGGCTGCCACAGCCCCAAGCACCACATCCCTAATAAAGTTGAAGACAGGAAGAAAGTGTTGGGTGGGGGGGAAATCCCCTTTCTGCTCGCGCTCTTCTGATCTGGGAAGGAAATCGTTCCTTGGAGGGATTCCCCTCACTTCGAATTGACCAGAACTGGTCATTCATCTGCTCCACCCCGCAAAGGAGGCTGGGAAAGTGAGTTACAACAAAGGAGGGTGGGATAATGTGGGACAATGCTTCAGCCCAATCTTAATCCCCCTCTGCGGCTGGACCCATCACCTCCACCCCTAAACAGAATCAGCGTTCTGCCTTTGAGGGTGAGACAGCTGGCTGTTGGGCAGATGACAAATGGTGTTGCCACAGCATAAACCTCAGCTTCTTCCAAGAAACCTCACTGACACGGCCTTAAAGGGATTTAAACAGGAAAGGGCACAAACGTACAAGGACAGAGAATAGATAACGAGAAGGTGGAGGAGGAGTGACGGGGCCAGGAGCCAGCTGTGTGGCCTTGGGAGAGTCCCTTCCCCTCCCTGGGCCTCAGTTTCCCTGCAGTTTAGGGGAATATTTCTGGCTGGGAACTTGCCCCTACACGTGTCCCACCTGGGCCTGGAGGGAAGCAGGGGCCGTGAGTCCTTTGCTCCACTTGAGAAACGATCCGGAAAACCTTTGGGTTATTTTGGGGTCACACCTGGATGACGTAAAGGGGGTGGGTTTCAGGGGCTGGAGGAAACGCATCAGTCCTGGAGGTGCAGGAAATCTTCCAGCACCCTCCTGTAAAGGAGACCCTCGAAACTGATAAATTGCAGTGGGCGATACTAAAAGGATGTGTGGGAAGAGGGACAAAGAAGAACGATGGCTTTGAGTACCTCCAGGCTGCCTGGCACTTTAAATACATTTTCTTACTCTATTTCCTTATTCTCTGTGTGACCTTGGAGGGGTGCTTAACTACTCTGTGCCTTAGTTTCCCCATCTATGAAGTGGGATGTAGTTGAGACTGCTAGTTGTCGGTCAGAGTCCTCCGCTACTTCCATAGTAACACCCTCGCGACTGAGCATGCGGCTGTCCTGATAAAAACTACATTTCCCAGCCTCCCTTGCTGTTAGACGCGACCACGTGACCAAGTTCTGACCAATGGGACGTGATCCCAAGCTATGCGGACAACTTCCACGTTGTGCCTTAAAGAGAAAGGACGTGCCTTTCCCCCTCGCCTTTTCCCTGTGGCTGGAAGGAGGATGTGAGGTCGGGGCGTCATGCACCCCGAGACCAGGGCCACGCCCTGGGGAGGGAGGACACCAGGGAGCCGCAGCCCCAGGCTGACAAGCGTGTCGTGACGGCTCCCTGCGTGGAGCCGTGGAAACACCCGCGCACGGGCTGGGAGCAGAGTGAGCTCCCTGTGAGCGGACGGGGGGCCCAGGGCAGTGGTCCCCACCCAGGCGGTTTAGCACCCGGGGGACACTGAGTAATGTCTGGAGACGGTTTTGATCGTCGCGACTGGGAATGGGGACCCGCTCCTGGCACAGAGTGGGCAGAGGCCAGGGATGCTGCTGAGCATCCTACAGAGCCCAGGACAGCCGCCAGCAGAGAATTAGCTATCCGGCCCCAAATGTCCGCTGTGCCGGGTCGAGGAGCCGGGTCTGATGGGGTGACGTCCACCGCCCAGCTCGCGCTCGGGGGAGCGATGGGGGCACAGGCCGGTTGGCGGGAGGGGGGCTTTGCATCGGGGCGACCTGTGACCTCTGCACCTTCCCCCAGCTCCGCCGGCTCCCAGGCGGCCGAGACGTGTTCCAACAGCTCTGCCTCCCCCGCACGCCCGCTGCCAGCCAGGCGCGTTTCCGGGGGGTGGGCGGAGGGCGCGGTGCCACCCGAACGCAGGCCAGCTTTCCCGGGGGCGCAGGGGGGCCTGCCCGACGAGAGAGGGCCCAACGCCGTCCAGGGCTCGTGCATCCTTGAGGAAACGGCCTCCTGAAGAAAAATCCGAATCTCCCCTCCCCGATTTCCCAGGATGTGGTGAGCCCCCACCTTCTGGGATGGCAGGGCAGGCTTCTAGAACCTTCCATCCCAGCCACACAGAAACCCAGAGACCGGAGCAAAATCTAACCCCCTGAGGAACTCTGGGCATTTGCTGAAAATTCGAGAAGTAGTGCCCACGCTGTCTGTTCAGAGGCGTTTCTCGGTGAGCAGTCATTCATTGACTTGAACACCCGCTGCACCCAGCGGCTCGCCCACCCCGGCCTTCCCATTGCCACCTGGGCCTCTTTGCTGAGGGCTCCCTCTGGCCACCGGCGTCCGTGGAACCCCCGAAGGACAAGCCTGAAGCGCCCAAGAAGTGGTGCCTCGGCAGCAGGGCTCAGCCAGTGACGTGGTAGGTGGCGGGTGCAAACCGGTTGCCTGGCCCCTGGTGGGCATCCCTTGGGCGTGTCCCACGCTGGTCCCAGAGTTCCCTGGTGGGCCCGAGCCTCAGCCACCCACAGCACAGCCTGCTTGACCGTCCCCTGTACTGGCTGCCTTTCCGTCCCTGTCTCGTGTCCCCTTTCCCTTGCTTCCTGGGGTCACCTCCCAAAGGACTTGAGCCCATGCCTCAGGGTCTGCAGCCGGGGGCACCCAGCCCGGGACCGCCCCGTCCTATGAGTCAGACACAAATATTTGCGGATCAGAAGGGATGTGGCTGCTGGCTCTGGGAATTCACAATCAGATGGAAAGCTAGATGCCACTCCAATAGTCACACAAAAGCAGAATTAAAAATGGTGATGAAGATTGGGACTGTGAAGAAACACGAGACCCTGTTGATAAGACCCTCCAATGGCTGCCCTCTGCTCCCAGGTCAAAATCCAGAGTTGTCATCATGGCCTCGAGGCCCTGCCGGCCTGCCGCCGGGTGAGCTCTCTGAGCTCACTCTCCCCCTCTGCTCCAGCCACAATGGCCTCCTGGCTGTTTCTCAATTGTGCTGGGCATTCTTCTGCGTCAGGGCCTTTGCACTTGTGGTTCCCGCTCCCTGGTATGCTTTCTTCAGATCTTCCCATGGCCAGCAACTTTTTCTTGATTCAGTCTTGATTCAGACATCACCTCTTCAGGGAGGTCCCCCCACCCCGTCACTCTCTTACTACGTTGCCTTGTTTGTTCACACCACAGCACATATCAGTCTGAAGTTGTCTTGTCTGTTTGCTTGTTCATTGAATGATCCCCAAACGGGAGCTCCGTGAGAGCAGCGGCTGTGTCCTCAGCGCCTGGGACAAATCCTCGAGCAGAGTGGATGATCGTTGGATAAGTGGTTCAAAGTTTAAGTGATGGAAAGAAACAATGAATGAATGAATGATGGAAGGATGTTTGACAAGGGGACGGAATCTTGCATGGAAAATCAGGGAAGGCTTCCCTGAGGAGGGGACACTGGAGCTGAGGCATGAACAGGGATGGGGTATTAACTGGGGCAAAGGGGCAGGAAGGGCCACGAGGCAGAGGAAACAGCATGTGCAAATGGGCAGAGGCGGAACCCAGAGGGAGGCCACACCGGAGCCTGCAGGGGACACACCGACGGCAACCCGAGCCTTCTCTTGTTGTTTTCTCTTTTGTTCATTATGTTTTTAATTGAGGTATAATTGACATATAACATTATATTAGCTCCAGGTGTACGACGTAATGATCCGGTATTTGTATACACTGTAAAATGATCACCACGATAAGCCTAACACCCGTCACCGCACAGAGTTACAGTCATGGTTTCTTCCTGTGGTGAGAACTTCTAAGATCTAGTCTCTTAGCGACGTCCCCATATGCAATACGGTGTCGTTAACTGCAGTCCCCACGCCGTCCGTGACGTCCCCGGAACTTAGGTATTTTACACCTGGCAGTTTGTACCTTTTCACCCCCTGCACCCATTTTGCCCGCCTCCCAGCCTCCGCCTCTGGCGTCCGCCACTCCGCTCTCTGTGCCTATGAGGGCAGTTGGTTTTGTTTTTTCTTTAGATTCCACACGTAAGATCAGACAGCATTCCTCTTTCTCTGTCTGCCTTATTTCACTCAGTGGAAGGCCCTCAAGGTCCATTCAGATTGTTGCAAATGGCACGATTTCCTTCTTTTTGCGGCTGAATAACATGCCGTGGGGTGTGTGTGTGTGTGTGTGTGTGTGTGTCTCACCCGTCTTTATCCGTTTCATCCACTGACGGACCCTGAGGTTCTTTCCACGTCTTGGCCGTTGTGAATGATGCTGCAGTGAACATGGGGCGCAGGTAGCTTTTTGAATTAGTGTTTTCCGTTTCTTTGGATAAATATCCGGAAGTGGCATTGGGGGATCGCATGGTAGTTGTATTCTTAATTTTTTGAGGAACCTCCATACCACTTTCCATAGCCGCTGCACCAGTTTACCCACAATGCACAAGGGTCCCCTTTTCTCCACATCCTCACCAGCACACATTGCTTCTCTTTTCAATGGCAACCATTCTAACAGGTGTGAGTGTGTCTCATTGTGGTTTTGATTTGCGTTTCCCTGATGATCAGTGATGTTGAGCACCTTTTCCGGCACCTGTTGGCCATCGGTACGTCTTTTTTGGAAAAATGTCTATTCAAATCCTCTGCCCATTTTAATCAGATTGTTCAGTTTTTTTGCTATTGAGTTGTATGAATTCTTTATATATTTTGGATATTAGCCCCCTATCAGATATATGATTTGCGAATATTTTCTCCGATTCATTAGATTGCCTTTTCATTTTGTTGACCGTTTACTTTCTGTGCAGAAGTTTTTTAGTTTGATGTGGTCCCACTTGTTTGTTTTTGCTTTTGTTGCCTTTGCTTTTGGTGTGAAATCCAAAAAAATCATCACCCAGCCTGTTGTCAGGGAGTTCGCCGCCTGTGTGTTCTTCTAGGAGTTTCATGGTTTCAGGCCTTACATTCAAGTCTTTGATCCATTTTGAGTTAATTTTTGTATTGTCTTGTAATTTTTTGTTAAGACTTTTCTGCATACTTTCGCACCTACCATGTGCCAGGCTCATGAGTACACAGGGAGCAACGGAGGCCCATTGCTGTCCCCCTGGAGGTTCCAGTCTGGAGGGGAAGACAGACAACAACCGACGAGCTGGGCAGGTGTTCATTCCCGACGATGGGGTTGCCCCACAGAGCCTCGTGGTGCATCACACGGTGGACACTCATTTCCTACAGTGCCCCTCAGATGCCGCGTGGAAACACATGTGGCACACACCTGCACACACAGGCACACGCACAACATACGAAGACTTCCCGGAATTGCCCGTGGAAAGGAGGGGAAAAGGACATTCAGTACAGCTGCTTTTGATTTTTAACAATTTAATTAATCCTCCTCCACCAATGTGGTCCCCATGGGCGCAGGGCCGCGGTTTCCTGAGCTCAGGAAAGACTGAAACGAGGCTGCACGGTCCGTGTGACAACGGACGCGCCCGTGTACCTCCCCCCGCCTCCCCGCTCGTTTGACGAGGCCAGGCCCGTCACCTCACGGCTTCCGTACTGAGTGCTGGGAAGGGCCCAGCTTTTATCTCCTGGCCTGTGGGTGTGGGACTCCCCAAGGCCACAAGAAGGCTCCAGCGGGGTGCTCGGCCCCGCCCCTGTGCAGCCCCAGCAGAACTGATCCCACTCCACGACCGCTCTCGCCCAAGCGTCGTCACCAGCAGCTGCAGAAGGCGCTTTCCTCCTGCTCGCCAGGGCCTGCAGGACAGTCGGCCCGCGGGGGGCGTGGGGTTGAAGATGCTGCCCTTCCCTGGGAGCCGCAGCCGGCAGTGACCAGAGGACGCGGAGACCTGAGGTTCCTGATGGTCCTCTGTCCCCAGAGAGGAGGAGTCCTCGGCCTCCAGTACACGCTCAGGCCCTCGGACAGAGGGATCGTAACCCACGGACTGCGTAGACGTGCTGGAGGAGACACAGGAGCGCGAGCCCACCCAGAGACCGAGGCGGGCGAGGCGTAGAGAAACCACGTGTTGCTGGACAGCAACTGACTCTTGTCTCAAGGTCAAGCAGACGGCAGGGAGGGGTGGAGACTGGGGCACGCTGGTGAGTGGATGTCCCATCTACAGGGACAGTGCCGCTCAGTGCCATCTGATTCCCGCCGATGAAGACTGCAGGCCCAAGGCCGCCAGACTGTTCCCTTTTGTGTCAGAGAAGACAGAAGTTCAGACTTTTATATGAAATCTCCCACTTTCTAAAGGTTGGCAGTCAATTTAATTTCTGTGCGTGTGTGTGTATTATTTTTTAACACTGTTAAGAATGATCAAAATACACATCCATAGTTGGGACCGGCAGTTTGTGACATCTATGTCACAGAGCCTTGAGAAGGATGGAGTCCAACCATGGCCTATTGGTCCAGCTTATGCAATGACTAAATGTTTGTCGACTGACTAAGTGACTGGCAGTGGGCTCATTGAAAATCTCCAAAACACGACCATCATTCCAACAATCCTTATGTTTATTCCAATGCAATTTTATTTTTCCCAATCACCCTGTCCCTCCAGTGCCTTTGCATTTCTGTGACTACTCACGTTAACAAGTTGTTGAACTCATTAAACGCCTACTGTGTGCTAGGCTCTGGGAAACAATTCTATGGGAAGTTGAATTAGCCAGGTCCCTGCCTCCGGGTTGTGCAGAGTCCAGTGGAGGACCGTTCCCAGGAAAGACGATCAGAGGCAGAGGCTGGGTCTGCTATGTTCCCCAAGTGCCCTCTGAGCCCGGAACAGGGCCTGACGCACTGGCGGCGCTTGATACGCGCTGTCCAACTGAGTGAGTACAGGGCCGCAGAGCTGTGTTACATGCGTCCTCAATAGCAGAAAATCTCAGTCATTACAACGGTTTGCGGCTCCAAAGGGCACAGTACATAAACACATATACAGCTCGTCTGTGTATTAATATTTCATTGGGGGAAAGGAGTTGACAATTAGGAAAAAAGTATCTAAAAGTCTCCTGGGATGGGGTAGGTTGAGAACCACTGTTCTAGAGGAAAGCATGGGGCTCTGGAGCACAGAGTAGGGCCCTTAACACAGCCCGGGAGATCACGGAATGCTTCCTGGGGGAGGAGGTGCTCCAACTCATTCTTAAATGATATGGAAAAAGTCAGCTAGATGAGGCGTCAGCAAACCTTCTCCACAAGGGCCAGAGAGCAAACATTTAGGTTCCCAGGTCTCTGTCCCAAGCACTCAGTTCTGCTGTTGTGGATCAGAAGCAGCCACAGACAATAGTGAAACGAGTGGATGGGGCTCTGTCCCAATAAAACTTTATTTACAAAAACAGACGATGGGCCAGATTCAGCCCCCAGGCCATGGCTTACCAACCCAGGCTCTAAATGTTGGGAATGGACAGGCCACCAGAGGGAAGAGCTTGAGCGAAGGTGTGGAGATGTGAAAGAGCATGGGGAATTAGGAAAGAGCCAACATTGTGGTTTTCCTTCTCCCTGGGGCACAGAAAGCGATGTTGCTGTTTACACAAAGACTTGTGCTCTCTCACTCAGGCTGAGCCCAGGATCCTGAGTTCATCCAATGCACCGGTATTTATTGAGTGCCCACTACGTGCCAGGCATCGTTCTAGGCACTAGGGACGCAGCAGTGAGCAAGATCGCCTCTGTGCCCTCAGGGCCTGAAGCCAAGCCAGGCATATAGTTTTTGTTAAATAAATGTGTTGAATAAATGGGTAGATAGGTGATTGGATGGATGGATGGATGGATAGCTGGATGGATGGGTGGGAGGATGGATGGATGGATGGATGGATGGATGGGTGGATGGATGGATGGATGGGTGGGAGGATGGATGGATGGATGGATGGATGGATGGGTGGGTAGATAAATAGATGGGTGGGTGGATGGGTGGGTGGATGGATGAATGGGGGGTGGATGGATGGGTGGGTGGATGGGTGGGCCGGTGGGAGGATGGATGGATGGGTGGGTGGGTGGGAGGATGGATGGGTGGATGGATGGGTGGATGGATGGATGGGTGGGTGGTTGGAAGGATGGATGGATGGATGATGGATGGATGGATGAGTAGCAGAGACAAACTCTAAACACTTAAACGAACAAATAAGCGATTAAATCCAACTTCCTCACGAACTGTGTGACTTTGAAGAGGTTACTTAACCTCTCTGTGTCCCAGGAGGTTCATACAAGCAAAGTGCAGGCCCAGCACATAGCGGCTGCTCCACAGACGTAGCTGCTGCTATTATCTTAGGTCAATATGCTATTAAATCAATACCCGATTAAAGAAACCGGATAAGTGCTAGGCAGGCACAGCACAGACGCACGAGAGGGAGGGGGGCTGCTTTGGCGCAGGCGCGGCTCCGAGCGGGGGAGGCGGAGGGAGGTCAAGGCCATCCCGGCCACATCCTGTGAGAGTCTCCCAGAATGAGCAGCCTTTGGGCCTCCGGAGGCAGTTAATTACAAATACCTGCCCGGGGGAGCAGGCGGTGTCGGCCCTAATGGGAGTCGGGGTGTAAGGCGCTTTGAAGTCGGAGGATAAAAGGGGAGACGGGGTGAAGCTCCGGTCACAGGGCCAGGGCGCCCGCCAGAACCTGTGTGTGAACCCCGAGAACCAGACTCATGCTCTCAGGCCTGCGGGGCGCCAACCCTCTCTCGGATCCTGAGTGGAGTCCAGGGGCAGCAGGAAAGCCCTGTGAGGGCAGCGGTGGAGGGGGCACAGGGCAGGGGGTGGGAGCCAGACTCCAATAGGACGCTTAAAGTGGTGGGCCCAACGAGTGAGGATGCGGGGTGCTAAGTCAGGATCGCATGTTTCCAATTTCGTCACATTGTTGCTTATATTGTCGTTGTTACCTGCCACTTACCTGCTGGATGACCCTGGGCCAGTTACTGACCCTCTCTGAGCCTCAGTGGTCTCTTCTTTAAAATGGGGTGATTACAGTGCAGCGGTGCTAGAAGCCGGTAAAGCCCGTGGCACAGAGCAGAGGTAATACTTCTCTTGGCGGACGCTGAGGAAGCCAGTACCTCGGGCCGGGCCCCACTTCAAGCATGCTGTATGCATTAACTCCTTTAACCCTCACAAAGGTTATCTTCATTTTCCAGACAAGGACCTTGGGGCCACCGGGGACAGCCATGCACTGCCCAGCTCGGGGGTGCCAATCACACAGACCATGATGAGAACAGCACCCCAGAGGCTCTGATGCACAGAGAGGTTACGTTGCTTGCTCAGGGTCACACAGCTAATACACAGCAGAATGGAGATTAGACCCCTGGCAGCCTGGCTCCAGAGCCTGGCTCCTAACTCTGAATCAACGTGAGCCTGCGTCAAGATGGTAGTTGTAATGGAGGGTTTCTGGGATGCACAGAAATTGATTTTCTCTTTGCCCGGCCAGGCAGGCATCAAGTCTCCGTCCACCAGTGTCTTGTTTCTCTCTACCCCAAAAGCCTGTATATTTCTGGGGACTTTTGATGTTTTTACTGTCTTCCAATTTTCTAAGAGCATTGCGTCTATGTTTTGGTTTGTTGCGCACACCATAATCCGGGGGAACCTGTGCAAATGCCAGGACGTCAAAATTCTGAGATTGGCACTGGACGGGTCCCCAGGTCCACAATCCCATGCTCAAGGCCTTCACTCGACTGATGGGCTCAGAGAGGCAAACTGACTAGCCCAAGGTCACACAGCTAGGACATGGCCGAGCTGGAACAGGTCTTCCAGACTCCAACCTCATTCTTCTCAGTCCCCACATCTGAATCTCAGACGGGTGGCCCAAAGGCCAAATGCAGCCCACAGCCTATCTGGGTTGGCCTGCATGGTGTTTTCAAAAAATTAGAATTTATCACCATCATTTAAAGAAAGGAATATTTCCTGGAATAATATTCAGAATATTTAACCAGACCGGTCTGGGCATCCGATGCTGCAGTCTAGTCAAAGGTATGGATATTGCAAGAAAAAGCAGCAAGAAAAATGAAAAGGCCTGGAAAAGGCAGAGCTATGGAGACACTAGGAAGATCAGCGGGGGCCAGGGATCAGCACGGAGGGAGGGAGGGAGGAACGGGCGGGGCACCGAGATGTTTGTGGGAGGAACTACGATACATGACACTATCAGGGTGGACACATGGCACGGCACCTTTGTCCAAACCCACAGAACGTACAACAGCAAGAGTGAGCTGAGCCCTAAGGCGAACGCTGACCCTGAGTGACAGGGATGTGCCACGTGGCTCATTGACTGTAGCAAACGTCCCGCTCTGGGGGGGGGGGGAGTTGAAAGTGGGGGAGTCTGGGCGGCAGGGTCCTATGGGAACTCTCTGTGACTTCCACTCGATTTCGTTGTGAACCCAAAACTCTCTGAAACATAAGGGCTCTTTAAAAAAGCTAGGAGGTCTGGCTACACAGCGCCAGGTTCTCCCCGGACCACCCCGGGCTGAGCCCCAGGCCCCGAGCCACCCCCTCCCGGCAGCCCAGCCTGGCCCATCGTCCCCCGGTGACTCAGGCCTGACAGGATTCTGCAGAAGCTCCGGGTGGGAAGGAGGAGCGGGTGAAAGCGTGGCCCGTGAGGAGGAGAGAGCAGCCAGGGCGCCTCCGCCAGCCCCTGCCCCTCGCCTCGGGCTGGCCTCCTGGCCTCCTGGCCTCGGGCCCGGGCCCCATCCGGGGGTGAGCCGCTCCTGATCCAGGCCATCGGCCCGGGCCTGCGGCGGGCGGCCGCGCTCTGCACCCAGGCAGGCGGAATCAAGGCCTTCGAGTTGAAACGATGCCAACCATGAGATTAGAATAAAAACGGGCAGGACAAGAACAATCGGAAGCTGCCTTATTCCTCCCCAGAAACTGCCCCCACGGCCACGCCCTTCCAGAGAAATCAGACGGACTTCTTCTTTGATGGTTTACTTGTCCGATCACTCATTCATTCAACATTTATTGAGCATCAAGCATGTCCAAAGGACACGCAGGACAGAGACAGCAGGAAAGCTGCGGAAGAGGGGAACGGCCCACTGTTGCTTGTCCCTGACCTCTGTCCATGTCCCCGTCTTCAGGTAACAGCACCCCAGTTTTCCTCCAGGGCACCCCTCCTCCCCACTCTCTCTCTTCCTGCGGCTGAGGAGGGAGCGGGCTGTCTCCCCACCCAGAGCTGCAGCCAAGAGCATAAGCCACCCTCGGGCCCGGGGATTGGTTCTGGGATGGGCACATGACCCAAGGCCAGCCAACCAGAGGCAGCCCGCAGACTTGTGCTGGGACCACACAGCAAAGTCAGCTTCTATCCATTTGGCTTGCTGACAAGGCAGAGTGAAAGCCCAGGGATGCTGGGACTCTTTGCCACCACATGGGTGACCCTAACTGACACGGAAGCATCAGAGCTGAGAGCTGAGAGAGCAGGGCTCCTGAACAACAGGTGCACATCTGGATCCAGCCATTCCTGAAGCCGAGCCCATGTCAAGACTTACGTAAACCAATGCATTCACACACACACGCACGCGCGCGAACACTTTAGTTCTTAAACCATTTCTGGAAAACAAATAGCTACAGCCAGAGCAGACGGCGAGAAATCCATGTAAAGTGCTCCGCGAGGTGAAAGGAGAGAAAAGCAGCACTGGCTTCCGGGAAGAGGCAGCCCTTTGCTTTCATTCCCCAAAAGTTCATTTTCA